CTCCCCAGTGCCCACCTCATTTCCGGAACGTCCTCCTCCGAGTCTGGGTCCAGGTGCCTCCCCAGCTCGAAAGCCGCCTCCTCTGGCTTGGGGGTCTCCGGGACCTCCTCCTCGGCCACCTCCTCAGGGGAAAGCTCCTCCTCGGGGTCCTCAAGTCCCAGCCCCGCCTCGCCCGGGTCCGGGGGCCCAAGGGCCGTCGGGAGGCTGAGGCGGTCCTCGCCCCGCCCGTGTCCTGCAGCGCCCTCAGTCTGGGCGCCGGGCTGTTCGTGGAGCGAACTCTGCCCATTGTCCCCCATGGATGGGGTCCCTCCCCGGGCCCTGCACCCCGCTCCCTCTGCACCCAAAGTGTCTGTGATCGCCACGGCAACAGGAGAATGTCCCTCCACACCCCCCGCCATCCACGTTCTATTCCCAGCAGCTCCTGCAGATGCGCGCCCAGAGGGCACGGGGCCCGGCTCAGGGCCTGCAGCACGCACCCCTCCAGCTGCGGTCTGCTCCGTCAAGGCCCCCTCCCCTCAGATGTGGAGCCCGCCCTGCTGGCCGCTGCTCACCAGGGAGTCCACCTCCTCCCAGAGCTGCTTCTGGAATGAGGCTGGAGGGGCAGCCCGCAGGGATGTCTAGAGCCAGCTGCTCTCTCCCTCTCCGTCTCTTCAAAGGAGACACAGGGAGAGGCCATGTCTCTTCTTCCCGGTCGCCGTGGGGCCCGTCACGTCTGGAGCTCAGGCAGCCATCCTGTGACCACCAGCAAAGCAACCGTGGGTGAAAGGTGGCTCTTTGGCAGTGGTGTGAGCCCCTGAACTTAGCAGCCCCAGACTGCTCTGTCTGGGCTTCCAGTCGCCTGGAACAGGCGTTACGTTGTTTTAGCTGGATTTGCAGTTCCTGGTACCCAGAAGCACCCTAACTAATGCAGACCCCGCCAGTCCCAACATTTCATGAGAAATAACCTCAAAATGGGCCGTCTTAATCCTCAAAATAAGATAACCTTTCATTCAAAATAAAATGACCTTTAAGAGTATTCTCGGCTGGGCGTGGTGGCTCAAGCCTGTCATCCCAGCACTTTGGGAGGCCGAGGTGAGCGGATTGCCTGAGCCCACGGGTTCAGGAGCAGCCTGGGAAACTTGGAGAGACTTCGTCTCTACAACAAATTGAAAAATTAACCAGGCATGGTAGCACACGTCTGTGGTTCTGGCTACTTGGAAGGCTGAGGCAGAAGGATGACCCAAGCCCAGCAGGTCAAGCCTGTGGTGGCCATGAGCGTGCCACTGCCCTCCAGCCTGGGTGACAGGGTGAGACTGCAACTCAAAAAAAGACCAGAGTATTCTCACTGCCCGAGGCCTACCTCCAGGCTCCAGCCTTCAGAAAGTCCATGTAGGTCTTTCTTCCTTCCTTTTTTCTTTCTTCCTTTTTCAGGTGGGGTCTCACTTTGTCTCCCGGGTTGGATGGAGCGCAGTGCCAGGATCACAGCTCACCATAGCCTCGACCTCCGGGGCTCCAGCGATCCTTCCATCTCAGCCTCCCAAAGTCCTGGGACTGTAGGCACGTGACTCTTGGCTTTATTATTATTATTTTGTAGAGATGGGGTCTCCCTCTGTTGCCCAGGCTGGGCTTGAACTCCTGGGCTCAAGGGATCCTCCCACCTCAGCCTCCCAAAATACTGGGACTACAAGCACCACCACGCTTGGCTTTTCTTTTTTTTTGTAGAGATGGGATCTCGCTGTGCTGTCTAGGCTGGTCTTGAACACGTGGCCTCAAGCGACCCTCCCACACTGGCCTCCCAAGTAGCTGGGATTATAGGCACCACCACACCTGGCTAATTTTTAAATGTTTTTGTAGAGACGCGGTTGTGCTATGTTGTCCAGGCCGGTCTCACCTCCTGGGCTCAAGTCATCCTCCCCCCTCAGCCTCCAGAGTCACGGGGACTACCGGCAGATGCCTCCACACCTGGCTAATTTTTTGACTTTTTTGTAGAGACAGGGTCTTGCTGTGTTGCCCAGATGGGTCTCAAACCCCTAGCCTCAAGTCTCCCAAAGTGCAGGGACTACAGGTGTGAGCCACCATGCCCGGCCTATGGTTTAATCTTTTATACTGTATGTCTACTGGAGCTTTTCTGTGTTTAGATCTGCCGGAACACATCTTTGTCGTTAAGTGACACGCGACTGCGTGTCTATTCATCCCAAAATAGGTAAACTGAGGCTGAGGAGATCGCAGAAACTCACAGGAGCACGCTTCCCCTGGATACCACGTTCCAGCTCATCGCCGAGGACGGCTGCTGCCCGTTCCTCCCATGCTGCTTGTACGTGCACCCCGTCTACACAGAAGTGGGGTCTGTCCTCCCCTTGACTCTGGGTGGGAGTTGCACAGGACTGTTCTGGAACAGCCACTCACACTACCTCCTGTTTGAAGGCCATCACCACGTCAGACGCCTGACGGCTGGGAGACCGCCATGCTGGGAGGAAGCACAGGCAGCTTCATGGAGAGAGACAGACCCCAACTGACCCGGACAAGGAACCAGGCATGAAGGAAGATGTCACCTGGGTGGCGTCAGCCCCAGCAGACACACAAAAAGCAGAAGAGCCACCCTACTGAGCCCAGCCCAGAGTACAGACTCTTGAGAAATAACAAATGACATTGCTGTGAGCCACTCTTGGGGCGGCGTTATGCAGCCTTATGCAGTTAGAAAACACTCCTCAAGGTAGTCAAGGAGACTCTCAACCAGTGGTCGGCTTCTCAACCGTTAGTAGAGGGTTTTCTCAGCCAGTCATCATAGAGTTTCTCAGCCAGCAGTCGAGGAGTTTCTCAGTGGTTTCTCAGCCAGCAGTCTAGTTTTTCAGCTAGTGGTCAAAGGGTTTCTCGACCAGTAGTCGAGGGGTTCTCGGCTAGTAATTGAGGAGTTTCTCAGCCAGCAGTCGAAGGCTTTTTCAGCCAGCAGTCGAGATGTTTCTCAGCTGCTCAGGCAAGCCTTCGGGTCCCTGATGGGCTCCTGGTTCCTGATAGAGACCAGCCACTGCCGACCGCCTAGCTCCCCTCCCACTGCCTCCCTCTGACGTCACCCTACAGACATGCTGGCATGCCAGGCCACGCGCCAGGCACAGTGCTGCCTCGAGGCCAGCGTGCTTGCCCACTTCCCACCCAGGAATTCCCACCCTCTGATCCTCATGTGGGTGACAACGTCAAAATCCACCTTAAATGTGGCCTCCTCTAAGAAACTCGGTGGCTCAGCCTGTAATCCCGCGCTTTGGGAGGCTGAGGTGAGTGGACTGCCTGAGCCCGCAGGTTCGAGCCCCGCCTGGGCAACTTGGCGAGACCTCATCTCTACGACAAATCAAAAATTAGCTGGGTGTGGTAGCGCGCGCCTATAGTTCCGGCTACTTGGAAGGCTGAGGCGGAAGGATTGCCAGAGCCCAGCGGGTCGAGGCTGCGGTGGCCGGGAGCGGCCACGGCACTCCAGTCTGGGCGACCAAGTGAGACTCCAACTCAAAAAAAAAAAAAGAAAGAAACTCTCTCTGGTCACCCTCTCCAAAGCAGGACTGCCTTGCTTTTCTACCTAGATAGATGGCATTTTTGTGTGTTTCACGTGGCTTGTCGCAACCTCACTCTGTATTGCATTTCGAACAAATGAATTGTCTATCTCATTAGAATATCGGCTTCGATAAGGTGAAGACTATCTCGTGCATGCCTGGGCTCTCAGTACCCAGAAGAGAACTGAAACAAACATCTTGAATGAGTGAGTGAGGCACATTCGTATCGGTGAAGAAAGTAGCCACACCAGTGGTGACCACCAAGACCAAGACACTCAAGGACACGGGATCTCTCCAAGGTCCGCAGTCCATATCATGGCCATACCCAGTGGCGACCAGAAGAGGTCACCCTGTTCAAGGGCATATTGTTGACGGTCCAGGTTTCAGATCACAGCCACACAGTGGCCACGAGAGTCCACCTCACTCGGATCACGTTGGTCTCCCCACTGTTCGGGTTTGACATCATAGCAAGACCACGTGGTGACCACAGGAAGTCACCCCACCCAAGGGCATTGCTCACTGTTCAGGGTTAATAGTCTAGCGGTACCAAAAGAGGTCACCCCACGCCAGGACACATCAGTCTCTCTCCGCTGTCCAGGGTTAAAATCATAGTGATAGCACATGGCGGCCACGAGAGGTCACCTGACTCAAGGGCGGCATTGGTCTCTCCAACGTAGAATGAGTATCACAGCAATAGCACACGGTGACAAGAGGCCTCCCACTCAAGGACACATGCATCTTGCCAATGTCCAGGGCTAATAACACAGTCAGATCACATGGTGACCACAAGAGGCCACCCCACTCAAGGGCACATTGGTGGCTCCAACGTAGAATGAATATCACAGCAATATCACATGGTGACAAGAGGCCTCCCACTCGAGGGCACATAGTTTACTCTCCAGGGTTTATATTATGGCAACATCACACGGTGACCACTAGAGACTGCCCACTCAAGGGAACACGCATCTCGCCAATGTCCAGGGCTAATAATACAGTAAGATCACACGGTGACCACAAGAAGCCACCCCACTCAAGGGCACATTGTGACTCCAGTGTAGAATGAATATCACAGCAATATCACATGGTGACAAGAGGCCTCCCACTCGAGGGCACACGAATCTCTCCGATGTCCAAGACCAATCATATAGCAATCCCACATGGTGACCACAAGAGGCCTCCCCACTCAAGGGCACATTGTTTACTGTCCAGGGTTTATATTATGGCAACATCACACGGTGACCACTAGAGACTGCCCACTCAAGGGCACACACATCTCGCCAGTGTCCAGAGCTAAGAACACAGTAAGGTCACACGGTGACCACAAGAGGCCACCCCACTCGAAGGCACATAGGTCTCTCCAATGTAGAATGAGAATCATAGCAGTACCACACAGTGACCACAAGAGGCCGTCCACTCAAGGGCACATGGATCTCTCCAATGTAGAAATGATCTCATAGCAATACCGCACAGGCGGGGCTCGGGGGCTCAGCCTGTAATCCCGAGCTTTGGGAGGCCAAGGTGAGTGGATTGCCTGAGCCCACGGGTTCGAGACCCGCCTGGGCAACTTGGTGAGAACTCATCTCTACAATAAAATCAAAAAATTAGCCAGGCATGGCACGGTGTGCCTGTAGTTCCAGCTACTTGGAAGGCTGAAGCGGAAGGATCGCCAGAGCCCAGCAGGCGAGGCTGCGGTGGCCAGGAGCGGCCACTGCACTCCAGTCCAGGCGACAAGTGAGACTCCAACTCAAAAAAAAAAAAAAATTTCAGGCTTGTCCCAG